ATGTATGTTCGTTTTTCATTTAAATAATGTTCTCGTTCAAAATTCATATATTGTTAGACGAATTTATAAATAGTAATAAATATGTAATAAAAAATTCTAACTCTTAAATATATACATAATCATAGTAAGAGGCCGTATGATATGCTTAGTGTACATCTAATAGGCATGTGACATATTTAATTTGTAATAATGAAATGGTAATCCTGCCAGCGCTAACGGTGTACGCTGGCGATGTACCAGTGAGGGATAATAGATAGTCCATCAGGCTGAATACAACTGGATTAAGCATGATGGTTTCCAAGGAACATTGGCGTATTTAAAGTTATTTTCCAGGGAACCTCCCCCCCCCCCTGGAAAATAGTTGAACCCTTAAAAAGATACAGTTACGAGCTTCAAAAGATATCTTTGCACCTTACTGAAAATTTCGCTTGCATTTTGAAATGTACACCAAACATTTATGATTATCCCTTGAAATAGGCCTAAGGCAGGAGAGACCGCGAGAAGGGCAACCTGACAGAATGTATTGCTTGCAATGGAAACTGGCGACCCCGTTACTAACAATTTTTCCTTCCTCCTTATTTGAGTTGTTAAGAGGTAAGAAATAAACAAAGTCACTATAATATATTATTAGACACTGGCCTATCATATATAAACTAAAGACACTTGTAGTGAATTCGAATCGAGCAAAAACAATTCAATTTGTATCTTATCACACATTCAATTCAAATATGCTAGTTGCAATACTCACATTGTACACATGTAGAGTGCTACTTTCACAATAAAAGTCCTAGACCCCAAATACCACTTACCATCGCATCAGGGATTAGTTATGATAATATTTACTTTCTTTACTTCTATGCAATAAATCAATAAATAATTAGCCACCCCTTCCTTTCCCGTAGATGTCGTAAGAGGCGACTAAAAGGGGGCGAGGAATGAACAACAGCGTCCCACTTAAACATTTTTAAAGCCTAATTGTGGTTGCTAATCCAAGCGTGACACTGGCAAAATCTCCCTTAAGGGAGAGGGTTATGTTCAGCAGTGGATAGTTAAAGGCTGATATGATGATGATGATGATGATGATGATGATGATGATATACTATTATAGTTTGTATCTAAAGAACTCAATAAAAAGTTAATCTAATACACGACTGACCTGAACCTATGCTTTAATAAGTAGATTGTAAAAAGCGGTATTTACAGGTATCAGATTAGTTTCAAAAGTTCGACCACGGTCTGCACGTTCGATGTAACTGTACATAATTCAAGTAAAACTCCATTCATTTTATTGCCAATCACTGTAAAACTAGTAGAGTCCTGAATGCAAAATATAGGCCCAGGCCCATTTCTCTTAGTATGTAGTAAAAAACATTGCTTGTCGATTTACCCCTCATCAATCTATTTAGAACGATAATAAAAAGAAGGATGAATTCTCGTCGTTTCTTCGCGTATTCATTTTTTTTTTTATAAAATGTATATAAATTTGACTTCGCAGAACTCATAAAGCTTTGAAGCAGAAAATCTAATTAATTTTTTATTGAGGTTTGGTAGGTAGATACTCAATGCAATAACAAATGGAAGAATCAAATGAACTTTTTCACTTTTTCGTGAAAAAGAAAATGTTTAATGGTTATCAAAGTTCTATCGTCAATGTGGATAAAAATAATTTATTCCATAAGTATATATGTATATATTTTTATGTATATACTCGTATATGTATATATTTTTATACAACGAATAAATAAGTTTCGTAGTACAAATTATCTAAAATTCTTTTTGACACAAAAGTTTGAAATTTATGGTATGCTATAAAATTTATATTATAGCTTCATGTTACTTAGAAGTAAAACTTCATGAAGAAAATTGAAGTTACTTAGGTGTTTTTTATGATACTTAAAATAGCATACAAGTTCTTCAAACTGAAATACGGTCATACATACACAGCTTCTTCAGAGAAGATTCACGAATGAAGCAATTTTTTTTATTGTTAAAGTAATAGTTTTAATTCTTTTGTTATATTAGGTATTTTTCTTTATTGCATGGTAATATTTTGTACAAGTGACAAGTTTAATAATAATAATAGGTTCTCTATTAGCTAACCATTAGGTAAATAAAAACAGAAGGCGAATGACGGGCAGTGGTGGTGAAAAAATGTGGCATAATTATTGTAATATACCAAAATAATTATACATACACATAAAACATAAACAATACATATATAATATATAAACATTAATTTAATATTTATGATATATATATATATATATATATATATATATATATATATATATATATATATATATATATATATATATATATATATATATATATAATAAAAAGATATAGATACAAATAAATTGTCTAAACTTACATTACAAATACAGGAACAATACACTGAAATTAAGTACACAACAGAAGAAATTGTAAATAAGTAGATACTAAACACAAATGATATTGCCTCAATCTTTTCCTTGTCAACGTCATATTTACACTCAAGTTACTGTAGTGAACACTTTCCGTTATTTATTATTTATTTCAAAGTTATCCCAAAGATAGTGATTTCTAGTTTAATCAATAACACTAATTTATATATGCTGTTAAAGTAAAAAAATTAGCGAAGTGAGTAATATTTTATTTACAGAGTTTCGATTTTTAATAGTTAAAAGATTAAATTGTACATCGACTTCGCGTTTAATATTAATTGGCATAATAATAAGCTTCCATTTTGTAGTACCATGACTGATTAGTCAGGTACTACAAAATGGAAGCTGATACTCTAGTCTATATATATTATAGTCTTTCTGTGCATTGTCAGACGCAGTAGATTTGAAAATTAAAAAACAAAATTTTTGAATTCTTTACATAACAGTGATAAGCTGTTAGCTGAGCATTAAGTAGGACGGGAAAATATGGGTCGGAGCGTTCGTCGGTCTACACAAACGGGGTAACTTTGTTGGCGTTATCAATAGTGCCAGTCACGATCGCTATAGTCCAATATTAAAATGCTGAACCTCACTAATTGTTGGATGTCGAACAGGATTCGGTTTCAGAATTATTAATGAGCGAATGTAAACGTGACAATGTTACTTATTTATTTGAATCTTTATAAGCATTTTTTTTAATTAATAGGTACGCAAGATTGGATGTATTTTTCATAAATTTGGATAAAAAAAATCTATACCCAAAATTTTGGAGAAATTAAGATCCTAGAGAAATACTAATAGAGTTAGTAGCCACGGTAGGTTCAGCATATTTTCTCATCGATAAACTTATTTTTACATAGCAGTTTGTGAAATGAGAAGCTTTATACAAAGCTGACGAGATATTGGATGAAGATAATTACTATAATGGCATGTTGCTAGTAACTGAGAAGGAGAAATGAATACGTTACCAATTCAAAAGTAGCAGTGAAATAGTGTAATAAATGCGAAAATGAAGTATTAGGAATGGTAATTTGGATTCTGTTGAATACTTTTAAGTTGGTTACAATATATTGAATGATAAATCTATTGCCGAGTCTTTGTTCACGAGCTCTAACAAATTGAATGGCGGAACTTGAAAGTTATTGCATAAAAAGGTGTGATCCATGTTTTTGGGCCAAATTTGAGCCAATATTCTTGGAAGAAATAAAAGCATAAGTAGGTACCAACCTATATATGATTTCAATTTTATTACTTCTCTTATGGTTCTATGGCCATCCCTTCCACTATTTTGTATTGTAAATAGGAATAACATGTACGTACAAAGGGATTGGCATATTTAATGTAAGTAGTTAAAATTCCTACAAAACAAATTAGAAATATTTATTTCTTTTATATAACTTTATTATTAAATTTTATTGAAATTTTAATGAATCACACCACAAGTATAAATAATTAAATATAAAGATTTCAGTAAACAAAATAAGACACAATTCGCATCACTTTATATAACAAACTTTCAAATATAATACATGTAACAATTACTTTTGACCTTTTAATCCCTGAATTTACTGACAACGTATGAAATAATCATCATTATCATCATTTTAACTCATCCACACCTGTGTCTGTTTGTAAAGCTATGGGTCTCTCTCATACTTTGCCACAAAATAATTACGGTCCTGACCCGAGGCTGAACGTCTGAAATGCAATTTATTATTATGGCGTGTAATTGTTACTTATGAATGTCACACATTTTACAATTAATTTAACCTAAAGTAGATGTTAATTTAAAGTTCTTTTTTAATGTTTCGATATAATAAAATCGTAACGTGATTGAAATAACTATACATGAAATGTTTGTTTAAAATGTTGTTTTTATGTAGACACTCTACGACAATAAATCGGAAATAATACTTTTATAAAATATAGTAAATATGTTATTTAAAGATATCTTTAAATGATTGTGAAGGATTCATCACAATATATAAGTATAAATAGCAAGATTATCGTGCAATATTGTTTACCCAATAATAAATAATGAAATTCTTTACCCACGCGAACGAGGTTGTAAATATATCTACTTCTTTAGAAAGAAACAGATAAAATTATATTTCAATTGATATCGTTCAATCTTGAATCGAACAAAATATATAATTCCCTCGATACTTTATCACAAAACCCACAGATTGGGCTTTTCATTTTAAGCTACTTTCAGGTATTATTACCATTATTAGTTTCGATATTCAACCATAAAAATAAAAATAAATTCTTATACCTAATGGTATAAAATAATAAAAAAACATACAACTATTATAAATATGAAATATAATTGTTATACATCTGAATGAACCTGAATAAACTATCTATCATATATATCATTTATCCAATTTTTTTAAAGAATTATTGCTGGCACCACCATGGATAAGTTTGGAGGACTTTGTTAAAGTTCATAATATAGCCTCGAGTTTGTTTATATTGTATGAGATTGGGCAACAGTAAAGAAATTTTAATTTCTTTTTATCCAAAATACCACAAAGTCAAAAGACAAAAATCATACACCAATAAATATTGCGAAAAATGATTGAAAATTTGTCACAGACTACTAGCTCTATGAGGAGACTCAAGTTACTCGGAGAAATAAATGGATTATTCCAAGAAAGATCAAAACTGAAGTTTCAATGGGTCGACCATATCAAATCAACTGATAAACCAGTAAAAGGAAGAAAATTTCTCAAGTTGCAACAGCATACAGACAAACGCAGTGTACAGCAACCCATACGAGATGGAGTAAAAACCGCAAAAGTAATGCAAGGAATTATTAGATATAAGTGGCACGAAATGTTACAATATTATTAAAATAAGAGAAACCTTAGTTCAGCAGTGGACGATATGTTTATAACGGTGATGATGATGTGATATTATGACCCTGACCGCACATTTGTGGAATGTTTCTATTTTTATACTCGTTCCATCATTCCGCACTCTGCTACTATTATAAGAGGAAAAGAGAAATACCTTCGTCAAGTTGTAATAATGTGCGCGGACGATTACATCGCGGACCATTTAATACACGAGTTTCGTAACCAAATTTGAAATTCAGGCGGCAAAATAAAATTTTCTCTCAAAGTTAGATGCCTTTAAATTGCAATTTATTTAACCATTTCACGCTTCTCTTTACCCTCTCGCCAGCTCTGAGTCCTCGGTACTAAATATGTATTCTTAAATAGAAATACTTATATAGCTTTTATTTAGTGTATAACTTACTCTTATTTGGTGAAATGTTTTAGTGATAAATTAATTCTCCTTAAGGGAAAAGTCTGTAATCAGCAGTGAACAATTAACGACTAATAAGATGATGATGATAGGCGAAAAGAATCTAATTCAAAAATATAGTGCATATTTATAATTAATTAAGATTAAAAGATTATGTATATATTTTGTGATGTTTGAGATCAAGAAATAAAAGAACACACAGATTTATTAATACATAATACATTTATAAATCAATCTATCCATTATGTATATAATTTATTTATTTTTATTTTCATTCAATTATCATAACACCAAACCATATCCAGCTTCCAATTCAAAGAAAAATAATATTAAACTCGACTCCAGACATTTCTAAGTCGGCAGGATACTACTAAAAATATCAATAGGTTTATTAACATGCTATCACCGATTCGCCATCAAAGCATATCTCATTTAATCTAAGATTCAGAGCTCGCTCTAAACCGTTTTTCGGTTCCCAACCAAATATTTAATTACTTACTCTAAAAATTTTTTCTTTAAAATCTATTTGAGATTTATCTTCTTAACAATAGTACTCTGTTATTATGAAGAAACAATTTCTTTAATAAAATAAAAACAACTCATAATTGGTAGCTAATATAAAATTAATTTATTGAACAATTAGTTCATTATTGTTTATATATTTAATTACAAGTTACTCAGCGGGCTATGAAGAGGGCTATGCTCGAAGTCTCTTTTCGTGATAGAATCTGAAACGAGGATATCAGCAAAATAACTAAAATAACCGACATAGCCTGAAAGATAAGCTGAAGTGGCAATGGGCTGGTCGCATAGCTCAAAGAACCGACAACCGATGGGGAAGAAAGGTTCTTGATTAGCGACCACGTACGGGTAAACGCAGTGTCGAACGACCCCCCACTAGATAGAGTGACGAGCTGAAATGCGTTGCAGGGAGTCAGTGGATGCAGGTGGCTCAGGACTATTCTTTATGACAGTCTATGGGGGAGGCTTATGTCCAGCAGTGAACGGATAATAGCTGAAATGATGATATTTAATTTAACATCAATGATTTTTTTTTATAATACGTTAATAATTTACTAATATGTAGGTAAACTACATACATACATGATCTATTCACGAAATAAATTTCCTGCCTAATTCACCTGACTGTGGTCGATACGTATAGCAAAAAGTATATTTTGATACAGCACAGAACCTTGTAGAACGCTGACACCAACCTTTTTGCTATCGAAGCATTTAGAGTTAACATTGACCGATGCATTAAAACAATGGATTACCATAAAAAGTAAAAGGTCGTCAGTTACTGACGACCTCTTTGAATAATCCCTCTAAAAGTCCAATGATGAGAGCAATTTCGGTAGAAAACCTAGATGCCAGATCCGGTAGAAGCCTGCTTTGTATCTGACCTCATCTTTTATCATAATTTCTCTTAATTGTAAAACCCAGCAGTGTGTGAAATATGCGAGCAATCATTGTGATTAAAAATATGTTTTCTAATAAAATAATAAAACAAAATATAAAATACATTTTAGGGACGTTTCTGTAAATGGTTCATAGAAAGCTTTTACCAAATAGCACAATCACTCTTCTAGTTTTCAATACTGCACATAGACTTGACTCCATGGTCATTAAAATCAAGAGTATCAAGAGAAAGCCGAAGTATGGCACAGTTCAATATCAGTACCAATACAACTTGACCTAACGATACTCAAAATCGTATCAATTTAGTTACTAAAATGTATATTACGCCATTTTTATTTACAGAGTTTTATTTTCGGTAACCCATTTTATACCTCCTAGGGGATAATTTTACTATGAGCAAGCAAAGAAACTATGGCATCAAGAGCAAAAAAAAAATAAAAGATCGTCTATGGATTTTTTAGTAATTATTTTTTTCTTTCAAATTTTATAACCACAGATGTATATTATATGTATATTATGAACTAACTAAAATTACTTGCTAAAGATTTTCTTGATGCTATAAAAACAAGAGAAAATAGTTGTTTGAAAGCAGATTAAATATTAAAAAAGTATATGACTGATCATGATCTTACTTTATGATGTTATGGTAATATTTTAACTTTAAAGATAATTCTTTACTTGAAAAAAAAAATCATAGTTGAAAATATCGATATTTTTCCTTAAGCACGAACGACGATCTATATTTAAACACCTTTAATGTAAACCGTGAATATTGTCAGCATGAGAATTTGAACCGATCGCTCCAGGGATTTAGGGGTTCTTTAAGGAACAATAGACTGTAAAATTTTCCTCAAATACAAAAAAAATACTTCTTTTGAGATTTCTCTGAAAGAATTAAGATATTTAAATAGACTTAATTATAAAGAAAATATACTTGTTGAATAAATCTATAATTAAAACGCACATTAGTATAGTTGCTAAGAGGAAAAGAGATCTACCTCTACGCGATTTCCCCTGGAAAAAACTTGATTAATTTTTGTAGAACCTATCACAATGGGCTAAATTACCAGCTTTCACCGTCACCTATCATCACTCACTGGTACCCCGCCAACATATACCAATAGCACAGGTGGGGTTATCATTCCATTTTATCTACAGTAGGAAAATATAATTTTAAAAACAGGTTAAAAAAATTGAGCAATTTTTTACTTTCGCTTGCAAGATACGTAATCAGCCTGCCGTTTAAAGCTCCGATGGTAAAAATCTATAATAAACCGATACTTCAAGTTTGCCTCTCGATGTATTTAAATCCACTACTCCTTCGTACCTAGAGTTTATAAAGCTACACGAATAGCTGATTTGTAAGCCATGTAATATGGTCCATTTTCCTACATTCTAATAAAAAATTCGGTTATATATTTCCATGGATTAACCTAACCATAACGTTTTTAATTGGCTAAAAACGAGAGTTTATTAGCGATTTAATACATTCGATTGCACAAATTGGGTATTTCTTCTCAAAAATTTTTGCTATATTAAAAGAGCTTTTGATTTAAAGCACCGTAGAGAAGGATAAACATTATTATTTAAAAAACCCAGCTGTTTTGAAAAACACCAATTTATCCTGAAATAAACAAGTTAATGGGATAAACTATGTTCTTCGTTTCGATCTTATAAACAATTTCAAAAATTCTTACCATTAGAGACAAGTATTATTCTGATACAAGCCCAACTGCTACCTCTTCTTAATTACCTTTATTTGACCAAACACGTACAAAATGATTGAACAATTTTCAAGATAGTACTTATGATTCAAATGATAGTGTTACTAAATGAATGGTAATTAAATTGTTGAATATTATGCACGACGCAACTTTTTGGTTTCTTTTTCAACCGACTTCAGAATGAAGATTCTCATTTCGGTTGTATTTTTTTAGTTTGATGTCTCATAACTCTGTCAGGTTTAAACCGATTTAGAATTTTTTTTTATCTAATATAATATACTTACAAATTGGTGCCATAGAAATTTTATCAAAATCAGTTCAACAGTTTAGTTTTTAGATCAATATAACTAGTTTTGTCACAATTAATATCGACTTTTTTTGTAGGACACAATCTTTTATTATTAATTTTATTATAAAGTATTTTTGTAACATGAAGTGTGACTATGAATTTTTTTTATACAACTTATACAAGAATGGCAAACAAGCCCACCTGATGGAAAGTGGTAACTGTTGCCTATAGATATGAGCAGTACCATGGACATAACAGAGTATAATGTTTCGTCCATGATACCCCTCATGCGTTGCCATTCCTGAGGACTCATGTGTTATTCCTCCGTACCCAGTGAATTCACACCATATCTCACCCTTTAAACCGAAACACAGCCATGCAAACACAACTGCTTTACGGTTGAAACACGAATAGGACAGAGGTACCCAAGCAATCGACTTTTATACAAAGTCTCCCTCTTGTAAAATATGACATGTCATATTTATCGTTCACTTTTATTTATCTTTTTGCTTTGAATGTACATTTTTATAATTATATTACTTTCCTAAAGACTATTGGAAATATGGTATCTTTAGAAAGCTTACAGTTACCAGCTTGCAGTCGTTTTGCCCACAAATATTAACAAACATTTTCAATAAAATGTTAACCCACATACTTTATTACCTAACTTGACAACATTGTGTCACCATCACCATCACCATAAACTAAAGATAATATCTGCGATCCTCTGACGACATTATTGTCGTAAAGGTTCATGTCATAAAGGTGCGTTGAGCAAACGACCTTGAGATCGCATCAAATATTATTATTTCTTCCAACACGCTTTACGATCGATTGTTTGGACAAAAAATTGAAAGTGATATCACCATACATGTGCTATCCTATGCTTTAATCCAGATACGGTATATCTATTTATTAAATTGATTTCAATTTTGTCCACTAAACATTCTACCAAGTTTGCAACACCCCTTTGTGGGATCTTAAATTTGAATATTTGGTTGAATTCGAAATTTCTGACCCTGATTTCCATTTTATTAGATAAGAATTTTCATAAGCTTATGATAAAAATCTTCTTTCTTCTTTAATCTTTAAGC